TGTCTGACTTACCTATACATCCATCTATACACCCACATAAACAGACTATCTGCTGTACAACTTACATTTTAAAAAACATTTTTACAAATCATAGTGCTATTCACAGCAGTATTTAAAGAAATTTAAAGTCTGGCAGTAGAGAAATGGCAGTGTGATGCCATCCTTGTACAATGAGTCCCCAGCATTCCAGAGGTCTCCACCCAGAAGGCACCTATGACATGGACTGACACATCCGGTCAGCCTGTGGCAGCACCATTATACCACAGTCTTGAAGTATTTTTTGCTAAATATACAGCTGTGCTCATTATTAAAAGTTCTCTTTGGTAGTTCCTACTTTATTCAACACAAGCTTGATCGTTCTTTTTTAATCGTAATATAAACCACTACATTAAGATGAATTTTCTACTTCTGAAGCTTCCAGCATACAATGAAAAAAAAATTATCTGCCACAAAACCAGCCAACATGCATTTCCCTGAACAGGAACATCCAGAACAGATACTTGGAAACCACATTAGGCAGAAATCAGTTCCAATTGTGTTTGAAACATGAAACTGGGAGCAAGGGAAAAACAAATTCCAAATAAAACACAAAACTACACTGCACAATTATCAGATAGGAACTTCTAGTCATACTTTTGTATACTCCCAAATTTCTCCCCACTTAGCGAGGCATATTTTAAGAACACTTTTAACCTTCCTATCCCCATTTCAAAACAAAGATCAAAGAAAAGTCATTTGGATGGACACCTTCCGCTTCTTATGCAATACAGATTTAGACACTGCACTTCAAAACCCCAGCCGTTGCTCCAGCACCCAGCAGTCCAAACATTATTTTAGCCCTTTGAAGCAGCCCTAATGGTATCTTCCATTTGCAAGTAACACTTCTGTAGTCAAAGATCTTACTCCAAGGAGATGTTAATGTGAAACCACTCAGACTGCAAAGAGACACACACACTCCTGGAGGCAGACTGGGAAGGTGTTTAGAAGTCAATGTAACACCATTATGGAGAGTGTCAGCTTAGAAGCTGTCATAAACACTTCATAATCACTCAGACACAAACTGGACTGCCTGCAACACATTACTTTATTAAGTGCTGAATAGAGGTTCAATTGTAGGAATAAAAAGCACAATGCTACAGATAATAGCTTTACTGAGTAGATTTTCACGTAAATGTCAAATTGTTGCTTTTTCAGACTGAAAGGGTTTCAAACTATAGAGATGGTTTTTCTTCTTCACTGGAATAATGTTGCTTCATTACAAGCTAAATATTCAGCAAATTAAGAAGAAAGCTTTGTATAATACCAAAAGACACAAAAAAAGTGGTGTTAAATAAACTCTAAATATTTAGTCAGTCACAGAACTGCCAGATTTTATTTAACTCAGACTGTGTAAGCAAAAATATGAGATGGAGAAATAACAACAAAGAAAAAAAACACAAACAGGTTATGTTACCTCCAAACTGGTTCGATATACAAATCCTGCTATGAAAAGATATTTCAAATTCATGTTGAAGACTATAAAACTGAGAAAATCTCCAAGACCATCTTAATAACAAAGTAACCATCCCAATATTGAAATTAGACTAACACAAATGGCACAGGTCAAAGCTATGCCTCTTTGTATGTGGTCTCAGAATTTCACAGAAAACACAAATGAAGGGCTAACAAAGTGATGCAATACCTCATAGTAGGCATTCTTAAGATGGGTGGTAAAATGTTTCCAGAGTAGGCATTTTTCCCCCCACCCGTTAAAAATACTTCCACCAAAAAAAATTAACAACACTAGGAGAAACTGTCCTACAATTTCATATATCTTATTTTTCCTAAAATAATTTAGGAATTATGAAGTTAAGAGACATTGGTGAAAAAAGATAGTCTGGCTGTAGCATCCTGCCTAAAAAGAGGGTAACATCAAGCATTTTGTGTCTTAACTTGTGGCTAATTTAGACAGGGGTCAGGGCAGAGAAAGACAAAAAAGAAAAATATTTAAAACCCACCCACAACCTACTACCTGCTTCAAAGTACCAGCAATCACACTTCACATAAACCAGGACAAAACAGTTGAACTCGGTTTTTTTTAGTAATCTCCATCAAATTATTTCCTGTTTCTTGCAGTGAACCATGGGTATGAGTTTAACCACAGATAGTTAATGCAGAGCAGGTTACACAAGGTAATCTGCTCACCAAAGAGCTGAAACTCTCATCTCATTCTTCCTTTCCTTATACATGTAAGATCCCATCTCACAACAAGTCCCTCAAGGGCATAGATAGGTCTAACAGAGACACCCTTTCATTCGGACACAGAAGGTCACTTACCAGGGATGCACAGCCCTCCTGCCTCACCACAAAGCAAAGGGCACATTACACACACACAGAGGAGGGGAAAAAACACCAAAACCAAAGCAATCTCTCCTAGACACAAAGCTCTTCTTATCATAGAGAGGCCAGGACAAGCTCCAACACAACCTACTTGCACATATTTTTCAGAAAAGCACGTGTTCATTTGGATAAGAACGTTTCAGCAGGATAAAGCAAGCTGGTTTATAAAAATTATTTATCTTAAGTCTATGTGTCTACTCACAGTATCTCAACTAATTGATCAACTTGGGCTATAACTGCTGCAGTTGCATTTCCTCTCTTAGCTCAGTAACTTAGTGACACCTAATGTTTGTTTTCTGTAATACACTTGGAAGAACAAAGCAAAGCCTTTCTGAGCCACTGTAAAAGTCTTGATTTGCTCACTAATATAAAACTGATCTGTCTTTAAAATAGTATACTACATTAGTTACATACTATAAAGATATTCTCACTCTTCAAAGTTATTCTGGTGTAAGGCAGATTTAAAAAATATATTAAAAAAATCAAACCCAACCCACAATCCAAAGATATTCTTTGCTCCACTAAAAATAAAGCCATGAGAATTAGTTTTATACATAGTTTCTCAGGATATACAAGTAGATAAAATTTCCTATGTTTTGTTAAAACGTTCATAAATTTTTATTAAAGTACCTGAATCTTAGTAAAGAGTTAGGTATGGGTTTGGTGCAGGTATGGGTTTGGTGATCAGGAAGTGAGGTGGATTAGGAACTGGTTGAAAGGAAGGAGTCAGAGAGTTGTAGTCAATGGGGCAGAATCTGGTTGGAGGTGTGTGACTAGTGGAGTCCCACAGGGGTTGGTACTGGGACCGGTGTTGTTCAACATCTTCATCAACGACCTGGATGAGGGTATAGAATGTACCCTCAGCAAGTTTGCTGATGACACTAAGCGGGGAGGAGGGCCTGACACACCAGAAGGCTGTGCTGCCATTCAGAGAGACTTAGATAGGCTGGAGAGTTGGGC